CTGTCCAGACAGAGGTCAGGGGTTCTGCATCCTCCTATAGCAGAATAAAAACTCCTCCTACAAGCTTTAACCAGTGCTCAGCTGGACACTGATAGAAGTCACAAGACTGCTCTAACTGCTGATGTGAACAGGTATTTAGCAGTTTATATTTACTAAAATAATTGCATTTCCCTGTTGTGTGTACTGTGTGAGACCAGATATAGTGAATGCAGGGTCCGGGGAGACCAGATATAGTGAATGCAGGGTCCGGGGAGACCGGATATAGTGAATGCCAGGTCCGGGGAGACCAGATATAGTGAATGCAGGGTCCGGGTAGACCGGATATAGTGAATGCAGGGTCCGGGAAGACCAGATATAGTGACTGCAGGATCCAGGGAGAGCGGATATAGTGAATGCAGGGTCCGGGGAGACCAATTATAGTGAATGCAGGGTCCGGGGAGACCAGATATAGTGAATGCAGGGTCCGGGGAGACCAGATATAGTGAATGCAGGGTCCTGGGAGACCAGTTATAGTGAATGCAGGGTCCGGGGAGACCGGATATAGTGAATGCAGGGTCCGGGGAGACCGGATATAGTGAATGCAGGGTCCGGGGAGACCAGTTATAGTGAATGCAGGGTCCGGGGAGACCAGATATAGTGAATGCAGGGTCCAGGGAGACCAGTTATAGTGAATGCAGGGTCCGGGAGACCGGATATAGTGAATGCAGGGTCTGGGGAGACCGGATATAGTGAATGCAGGGTCCGGGGTTTAGTAACACTTTAAAGCTGAGCTCTGGGCAAAACCACTTTTATTGAAATGTATTTCACTATAGTCACAATTATAAAAATTCACCTGTTTTTGCAAACTCTGTTATTGCCTTATATAAGTAGTAGTGACATCGTCACTGTGCTGTACAGAGCCAGTGCAGAGAGCAGAGCTGTGGGAGGGGCCTAGCAAGCCCACCTACAGTTGCAAGAAAAAGTATGTGAACCCCTTGGGATTACGTGGAGTTTTGCATGCTGCAATATTCTTTTTGGACAGCAATGGCTTCCTCCGTGGTGTCCTCCCATGTACTCCATTCTTGTTTAATGTTTTCCTTATTGTAGATGTGTCAACAAAAATGTTAGCATGTGCCAGAGATTTCTGTAGGTCTTTAGCTGACACTCTGGGGATTCTTCTTTCCCTCATGCAGCATTCTGCGCTGTGTTCTTGCAGTCATTTTTACAGGACGACCCCCTAGGGAGAGTAGCAATAGTGCTAAACTTTCTCCATTTATAGACAGTCTGTCTTACCGTGGACACATGAACATCAAGGCTTTTGGAGATACTTTTGTAACCCTTTCCAGCTTCATGCAAGTCAACAATTCTTGATCGTAGGTCTTCTGAGAGCTCTTTTCTGCGAGGCATAGTTCACATCAGACAGTGCTTCTTGAAACCAGTAAACCCAAAACAGGTGTGTGTTTTTTTAAGGGCAGGACAGCTGTCAGCAACACATCCAATATCATCACACTGATTGGAGTCAAGGTTGGCTCACTCCTGGCTCCAATTAGCTCTGGGAGAAGTCATTAAGCTAGGGCCTCACATACTTTTTCCTCCCTGAACTGTGAATGTTTATATGTTATGTGCAATTAAACCATGGCAACATCTAATGTTTGTGTAGTATTATGTTCAGCAGACCGTGTTCTTCTATTGTTGTGACTTAGATGACGTTCAGAGCACATTTTATGCCCAATTCATGCAAAACCACGTAATCCCAAGGGGTTCACATACTTTTTCTTGCAACTGTACAACACACTGCCTGCAGAAAACTACAGGAGGGGGTGGAGACAAGACCAGTCACCCTGCACAAGGAGAGAGAGCAGCAGTGAGCGGTCTGTATTACAGGAAGCTCCTGCACAGAGGTAAACTTTCACACTGGATTACTGCACAGATCTGGAGGAAATACACAAAGTACACCGAGATTCAAGAAAGAACTCACATCTCTTGTATTTAGGCAATATTTGCTTATTCTGAAGTTCAGCTTTAAGTATGAATTGGAGTCAGAGGCTGGAGAAGATTGGGGAGCTCTGTAATAGGTTATATTAGATTCATTGACTTCTCTTCTTTTTCTGTTAGGTATTAATTCCAGCCATCTGTATTCAATGTGTAGGCCGACGTGGAACATGCAACAACCGATGTGGGGTAAGAGAACACACTATGGATAATTTAAAGGGGCCCGTTTCATAGCTCTATTTTTGCAAGAGAAATGTTGATCATGACAGTTTATAAGGCTATTTTCTCCATTCATGTTCACCAGAACAAGAAAAACAATTATGTTCCTAGTCTTAGATATGGTAAACATAAAACCGACCAATACAAAACTGTTGTTTTACTTTAGATTGGATGTTGGAAGGTTCAGTTATTCACTAGCTTCTTCTGTCTCTGAACATCTCCATAACAAACCCATGTACCCTTACATTCGGATGTCCCCAGATTAGCCATTCCCTTTCCTACTGGATCCCATGTAGGGTACTATTAGAGTGTTCCACTTGCTTTCTTAGTAGACTCCAAGTTGGGTACCCTTAGGGTTAACATAAGGTGTGTCCCGTTCACCTCACATCAATGTAGACCCACTTATGAGGAGGTAAATGGACTTCCATTTATCTCCTCACAAGCGGGTCTGCATTGATGTGTGGCGAACAGGACACACCTTCTATTAAACCAATGTTTGGAGCCAAGACTAGCTCCCTCCCTGGCCTGCACTCACAGTGGGGGGTGCAGGATTACTATCCCCTGTATCCTGGAGCAGCACACAATTCCCTTTATTGGTACTATTAGGGTGTCCAGTTTCCCTTCATACTGGCCCCTATGTAGGGTATCATTAAAGTGTTCCATTTCCCTTCATGCTGGACCCCATGTAGGGTACCATTGGAGTGTTCCATTTGCCTTTATACTGGACTCCATGTGGGGTACCATTCAAGTGTTACATTTCCCTTAATACTGGACCCCATTTAGGTTACCATTGGAGTGTTCCGTTGCCACTCATACTGGACTCCATGGAGGGCACCATTAAAATGTTCCATTTACCTTCCTACTGAACTCCAAGTAGGGTACCATTAGAGTGTCCTATTTCCCTTTATACTGGACCTATGAAGGGCAACATCAGAGTGTTCTATTTCCCTTTATACTGGACCTATGTAGAGTTCCATCAGAGTGTTCCATTTCCCTTTATACTGGACTCATGTAGGGTACCATCAGAGTGTTCCATTTCCCTTTATACTGGACCGAGGTAGGATAGCATTGGAGTGTTCCATATCCCTTTATACTGGACTTATGTAGGGCACCATCAGAGTGTTCCATTTCCCTTTATAGTGGACCGAGGTAGGATAGCATTAGAGTGTTCCATATCCCTTTATACTGGACCTATGTAGGGTACCATCAGAGTGTTCCATTTCCCCTTTATACTAGATACTAAGTAGAGTACCATCAAAGTGTTCCATTTCCCTTTATACTGGACCTATGTAGGGTACTATTGGAGTGTTCCATTTCACTTTATACTAGATACTATGTAGGGTACCATCGGAGTATTCCATATCCCTTTATACTGGACCTATGTAGGGTACCATTGGAGTGTTCCATATCCCTTTATACTGGACCTATGTAGGGTACCATTGGAGTGTTCCATTTCCCGTCGTATCGGACCCTATGGTTAGGAAGCACAGCGTAGAAGAGAAATATCCTGACACCGTTCTCTTCCTTTTCCCTAGATGTTGGTCTCTATGGCCCTTGCAGTGGTGGCAGTGGGCGGTTCCATCTACGGCTTTGTGACTTCCCTGCTGGGCCTGATCTATGGACCTAAGTGCTACTACCAGTTCATTACGGGAGCTCAGCGCTGGACCACCCCCTTCAAATTGGACAGAGAATTCATTGAGTGAGTGTGATCACAGCATATTAAAGCCTTGGATTAGCTCAAATCAGCACAAGGAACATAACTTACAGTTAGTGCAATGTGTCCCTTGTGTTGATTCTTCTTGTTTTAGGAGAAATCTTCATGTTTTCATACTACAGCTTCTATGAATGACACAGAATCTCTGAATAGAGAGGGGAGCTATCAATCATGTGCCCATCCCCCATTCAGAGATCTCTTGTCATTCATAAAAGCTGTAGAAGGGCTTCTGTGAATGGCAGACCTGCCAGGAAAGGGCGGGCATAGCTGAGCTCTGTTGATGAGAGCTCCTGACAGTCCTTTAGGTGTATTAACCCCTGCAGCACCAGAAGAATTCCAGGGGGATGGGGAGTCCGGGTAGGAAATGAAGATCTCCCCTAAAACAAGAAGAGTCAACACAAGGGACACATCACACTAAATGTAAGCTATGTCCCTTGTGCTGATTTTTCTGGTTGTGTTTTTAGCTAAACCTAGGCTTTATAGTATAACTAAACCCCAAAACAAAAATGTTGTATATTCAAGATCACCAGTCCCTACATGTTGTGCTTGCATTAGTTTTTTTTCAGACTGAGAACATTTTCAGCAAGTACAGAAATGCAGTGTCCTTGTCACTTTCTGTACACTTAAAAGAAAGCACAAATAACTTATCTTTCTTCTGTAAACTATTGATCCCATTACCTCCGAGGTAATGGAGAAGAAGAGAGGAGGACTCCTTTGAAGTTCAGCCTGGGGAACAACCATGGTTCCCTCCATAGATACAGTGGAGAAGAACGTGTAGTCACCCTAGAACAAGAAGGGTGTTGTTCTCATGATTACCAATTGAAAATATAGCAATAAATAACTGAAAAGTGAAAACTAATGAAGCCACCACATCAAAGGACTGCTGAACTCCAATATGCAGAACCTGTGCAGCCTTCTGTCCTTATATACTGTATACATTTATTGAGGTTTTCTGTCTTAAAGTGTTACGAAACCCAAGACCCTGCATTCACTATATCCGCTCTCCCCGGACCCTGCATTCACTATATCCGCTCTCCCCGGACCCTGCATTCACTATATCCGCTCTCCCCGGACCCTGCATTCACTATATCCGCTCTCCCCCCGGACCCTGCATTCACTATATCCGCTCTCCCCGGACCCTGCATTCACTATATCCGCTCTCCCCGGACCCTGCATTCACTATATCCGCTCTCCCCGGACCCTGCATTCACTATATCCGCTCTCCCCGGACCCTGCATTCACTATATCCGCTCTCCCAAGACCCTGCATTCACTATATCCGGTCTCCCGGACCCCGCATTCACTATACTCGGTCTCCCCGGACCCCGCATTCACTATATCTGGTCTCCCCGGACCCCGCATTCACTATATCCTGGTCTCCCCGGACCCTGCATTCACTATATCTGGTCTCCCCGAACCCTACATTCACTATATCCATTTTCCCCGGACCCTGCAATCGCTATATCGCTATATCCGACTTTCCCCCGGACCCTGCATTCACTATATCCGCTCTCCCCGGACCCTGCATTCACTATATCCGCTCTCCCCTGCATTCACTATATCCGCTCTCCCCGGACCCTGCATTCACTATATCCGCTCTCCCCGGACCCTGCATTCACTATATCCGCTCTCCCCGGACCCTGCATTCACTATATATCCGCTCTCCCCCGGACCCTGCATTCACTATATCCGCTCTCCCCGGACCCTGCATTCACTATATCCGCTCTCCCCGGACCCTGCATTCACTATATCCGCTCTCCCCGGACCCTGCATTCACTATATCCGCTCTCCCAAGACCCTGCATTCACTATATCGGTCTCCCCGGACCCCGCATTCACTATACTCGGTCTCCCCGGACCCCGCATTCACTATATCTGGTCTCCCCGGACCCCGCATTCACTATATCTGGTCTCCCCGGACCCTGCATTCACTATATCCATTTTCCCCGGACCCTGCAATCGCTATATCCGACTTTCTAGGACCCTGCATTCACTATATCCGGTCTCCCCGGACCCTGCATTCACTATATCTGGTCTCCCCGGACCCTGCATTCACTATATCCGCTCTCCCCGGACCCTGCATTCACTATATCCGCTCTCCCCGGACCCTGCATTCACTATATCCGCTCTCCCCGGACCCTGCATTCACTATATCCGCTCTCCCCGGACCCTGCATTCACTATATCCGCTCTCCCCCCTGCATTCACTATATCCGCTCTCCCGGACCCTGCATTCACTATATCCGCTCTCCCCGGACCCTGCATTCACTATATCCGCTCACCCCGGACCCTGCATTCACTATATCCGCTCTCCCCGGACCCTGCATTCACTATATCCGGTCTCCCCGGACCCTGCATTCACTATATCCGCTCTCCCCCCGGACCCTGCATTCACTATATCCGCTCACCCCGGACCCTGCATTCACTATATCCGCTCTCCCCGGACCCTGCATTCACTATATCTGCTCTCCCCAGGACCCTGCATTCACTATATCCGCTCTCCCCGGACCCTGCATTCACTATATCTGGTCTCCCCGGACCCTGCATTCACTATATCGCTCTCCCCGGACCCTGCATTCACTATATCTGGTCTCCCCGGACCCTGCATTCACTATATCCGCTCTCCCCGGACCCTGCATTCACTATATCCGCTCTCCCCGGACCCTACATTCACTATCTCCGGTCTCCCGGGACCCTACATTCACTATATCTGGTCTCCCCGGACCCTGCATTCACTATATCTGGTCTCCCCGAACCCTACATTCACTATATCCATTTTCCCTGGACCCTGCAATCACTATATCCGGCTTTCTAGGACCCTGCATTCACTATATCCGCTCTCCCCGGACCCTGCATTCACTATATCTGGTCTCCCCGGACCCCGCATTCACTATATCTGGTCTCCCCGGACCCTGCATTCACTATATCTGCTCCCCCACAGTATACAGAACACGGAAATGCAATTATTTTAGTAAATATAAACTTCTAAATATCTTTTCTCATCAGCAGTATATAGCATTCTTGTGACTTCAGTGTTTGGCCAAGCACTGGTTAATCATGTAGAAGGAGTTTTCATTCTCCTCTGACTGTCCTATGAGGTTGCATGACCGCTGACCCTCTGTCTGGACAACGCTGATTGGCCCAGTGCTGATCACATGCACTCTCTCAAAGAAAAAAACTATTTAACACTAAACTGAGCATGTGCAGAGTGACTCCTAGAGCTCTGTACTATCAGCAGATGGATTTGGGACAGTGGAAGAAGGAGAGGATCAGAGAAGTCGGGATCAAACAGCCTTTTTACACAATGCAGAGGATTTAACCCCTTAGGTTCCACAGTGAGTATAACAAGCATGCTTTACTGCATCTACAGACTGATTGTACTGTTGTGAGTTTAGTAACACTTTAATCTGCAGAAAGCAGAATACAAATTTCCCAGATAAGAACCTTTCAGGTCAGGTTTACTGCCCTATCATAAAATAGTGAATCTTCAGAACACAAAATCAGGGTTGGACTGACAACTCACGGGGCCCCCAGGAAATAGGAAATCATGGGGCCCCTGTGTCCTCGCCCACACCAAAAAAAAAAAGCCTATGAAAGGTACCAGGGGCATCTCATGGGGCCCCCTACTGACCCTGGGCCCTCGGGCATTGCCGAGTACCCGAATGGTCAGTCCGCCCCTGCACACAATACACATTCCCTGAAGAGCCAAAATGTCGGCTTGGTTCAGAACTCCTGAGCTGATAAGAATACATCATGAAGAGGAGAATCTCCTCAACTGCCTTCCATACAATCCCTACAGTCACATTGGCTAACCTGACATTCTCTGATTATCCTCTTCAATCGACTTTACTTGTGTGAAGTGCCTGGAGTGCAGCTGGAGTACTGATGTCCTTGATGTTCAATTCCAATTTAGGTTCGACTTGAACATCGGCCATTCGTGTGTTTGGCACACACACTGACGGTAAGGGCGTTTGGCAGGCTGTTCGCCCCGCCGCGCACCACAAGGCACTGCACTCTGACAGCACAATTGGGTGGAGCTACCGGTGACATCACTGCCAGCTCAGCCCAATTGTTTACATCTGACCGATAAATGTCAGTTAGCGGCGAGTGTTCAGCCGGTGCGGACTTGTCGGCGGGCGTCAGATTTTTTTTCGTCTTCGTGACAAAGCTGGACGCCATGATTGACGATGGATTACAACGAAGGAACCATTTTTGTGGCTTTTTTTTTTTTAAATAAAGGACTTTGTTGTGTTTTTATTCACATTTTGCACTTTTTTGGTGAATGGGTACGGGTACTCCATACTCACCTGCAAGGGGAGGGGCCGGGATCTGGGGGCTTCCATTTTCCGATAATTCACCCCCCCCCCCCCCCGCAGACCCCCACAACCACAGGCCAGGTATGTAGAGAAGAGGCCCTTGTCCTCCATCAACATTGGGACAAGGTGCTTTGGGGGGAAGCCCCCCTACCCCAAAGCATCACCTCATGTTGAGGGTATGTGGCCTGGTGCGGTTCAGAAGGGAGGGGCGCACACTCATCTCCCCCTTTCCTGGTCTGCCAGACCTATGCTCGGATCAAGGGTCTGGTAGGAATATAGAGGGGGGCCTGCATGCTTTTTCCCCCATTTTGGGGGGTGGTGTTCCCCTAAACATCCTACCAGGCCTAAAGGGTGTGTGGGTCCTATGGATTAATAAATACACACTATATTCATCTATCCTCCGGGGTGCTGACCCTTCTTCCTATTGTGTGGTGTTTAGGAGGAACCCCACACACTTTTATTTTACTGTGGGGTCCCTCCTAACCTTCCTACCAGACCTAAAGGGCCTGGTATGGATCGGGGGGGACCCCATGCTGTTGTTTTTTTTTTAATGTAATTTTTGTATTTTAAATGTCAGTCCTACTGCAGCAGGTTCTATACGTTGTACAGATGTGAAACTTTGCAGGTAGTTTAAGGGGACCCCCAGGCATGATATTTAACCACTTCCTGTCCGGACACTTTTACCCCCTTCCTGTCCAGGGCAATTTCCAGCTTTCAGCGCTATCACACTTTGAATGACAATTGCGCGGTCATGCAACACTGTACCCATATGAATTTTTTACCATTTTTTTGAGACAGATAAAACTTTATTTTGGTGGTATTTATTCACCGCTGGGATTTTTATTTTTTTTTTTGCTATGTAAATGAAAAAGTCCAAAAATTTTGAAAAGTGTTTTTCTAATAAAATTTTGCAAATAAATAATCTTTCATCATAAATCTTGGCCAAAATTTATTCCGTTATATTTTTAGTAAAAAAATAATATAAGCCAAATTAGTTTATAACCAAAAATTATTATAATTTTTAAACATTTTTTTACATTTTTATTTTATTTTTTTATATTATTATTTATGGGGTTTTTGTTTTTTTTTACATACTGTCACCCTAGCACGGGTGTCGGCAACCCGCGGCTCCGGAGCCGCATGCGGCTCTTTTTCACCTTTCCTGCGGCTCCGGAGCACACTGCCCACCAGGTGACAGGCAATAGGGTCGGCAAGCCGTGGCTCCTTTAATGCAGCTCTTCTGTGTGCCGGGCGCCCGCTGGCAAACATTGGCTGTCAGGATGTAGGCGGGGCAGAGTGACGAACTCCTCTCCTCTCACAGTCCGCCCTGAAGACCAGAACGGCGCGGGAACACAGCAAGAGGAACGCGCGGAGCAAAGGTAAGTGAATTGACACAGGGGGGACTTAATATGGGGGATGAATTACTATGGGGGGGTGAATTACTATATGGGGGATGAATTACTATGGGGGATGAATTACTATATGAGGGATGAATTACTATGGGGGATGAATTACTATGGGGGATGAATTACTATGGGGGATGAATTACTATGGGGGGGATGAATTACTATGGGGGATGAATTACTATGGGGGATGAATTACTATATGGGGGATGAATTACTATATGGGGGATGAATTACTATGGGGGATGAATTACTATGGGGGATGAATTACTATGGGGGATGAATTACTATATGGGGGATGAATTACTATATGGGGGATGAATTACTATATGGGGGATGAATTACTATAGGGGGGGATGAATTACTATAGGGGGGATGAATTACTATAGGGGGGATGAATTACTATAGGGGGGATGAATTACTATAGGGGGGATGAATTACTATATGGGGGATGAATTACTATATGGGGGATGAATTACTATATGGGGGATGAATTACTATGGGGGATGAATTACTATATGGGGGATGAATTACTATATGGGGGATGAATTACTATATGGGGGATGAATTACTATATGGGGGATGAATTACTATATGGGGGATGTATTTTCAGTTTTAAAAATGTTTCTCTCAAAATAAATTTCAGTCGTGGTTTTGGCGAGATTTGGCTCAGTTGAAAAAAAAGGTTGCCCACCACTGACCTAAGGCTATTATTGTGATTATGAGGATACACTGTGGCCCTGATTAACCCTTTGCTTACTGGACCCTTAAACCCCCTTCATGACCAGAGCGCTTTTTGCAATATATGCAGTGTCGGATTTGTTTTAAATGTTGCAATGGTTTTGCGGCTCCCAGTCTTTTTTTCCCTCTCGGAAACGGGTCCAAGTGGCTCTTTATGTCTTAAAGGTTGCAGACCCCTGCCCTAGCAGTACAGTGTCACCATGGTGACACTATACTACTTGTGGGGGGTGATGAAGATTTTTTTTTTTTTTTTACAGTGATTGCTTTTACACCCATATAGGATGTAAAAGCAATCATTTCTCTTTCTCTCTGTCTGCATTCTTGCAGTCATTGAGAAGTACTGAGTGAGCTGTGATTGGTCACAGCTTGTCACATGGTACAAGGCTGTTGTGAATAGCCTTGTACCATGTGACCTCATTCACAGATTTCACACGTAGTAAGCAATGATGTCACAAGTGACATCTTGCTTACTACTTTGCATGTGATCACTGATCGGCCAATCAGTGATCACATGATCGGGACCTCGTACAGAGGTCCCGTCTGACGATCGGAGTTTCACTGTGTCCGGAGGACTCAGCGGGCACCGGATCGCGGTGCTGCGCGCTCCCAGGGAGCGCGCAAAGCTAGAAAAGGCGGGTGCCGTTTATGAACGGCAACTCGCCCCTGGACTGCCACCGCCCTGCCGGATAAACAGCAGGCGGACAGCAAGAGGTTAAAGGAATTTATTCATGTCCCTCAGGGCAGTCCCCGAGCCCCCATGCCCCTTTTATGGCCAATGGCTTATATATAAGCCTTCAAAATAAGCACTTTTGAATTTA